AGGGGTTCTCCATGCCGCCCCCCCCCCCAGGAGCCCTCAACATCGCATCTTCGGGTGTCTTTCGGCCCCCCCCCCAGGAGCCCTCAACATCGCCCCCCAGGAGCGCTCTTTTGGGGTGTCTTTCGGCCCTCTCTGGGCCGTCTTGGGGCCCTCTTGGGACCCTCTTGGAGCCCTCTTGGGGCTCTCTTGGGGCTCTCTTGGGAGCCCTGGAGCGCCTCTTGGGACCATCTTCGAGGCTATCGATCAAAGGATGGGGGTCCCGATCGAGGTCCCCCCCCCTGGGGCCCTCCAAACTCTCTCTTGGAGCCCTCTTGGGGCGCTCCTGGGGCGCTCTTGAGCGCTCTTGGGGCCGTCTTGGGGGCCTCTTGGGCCCCTCTTGGGGCCTTCTTGGGCCATCTTGGGGCCATCTTGAGGCCTCAGAAGCGCGTCGGAAACGACACGGCGAGAAGGCAACAATCATACATTGTCTTTAGGTTTTTAAAGGATTTTGGGCTCTTGGAGGGTCCTGAGGGGTTTCCGAGAGCACCTGGAACCGTCTTGTGGTCATCTTGGGGCCTCTTGGAGGCATGTTGTTAGCTATCTTGAGCCATGTTGGGCTATCTTGACGATAATGGAGGCCATTTTGGGCTCTCCGATGCCCCTGGACGCTCCAACCGATCGTGGCCCCTCCCGTCAAGGTCTAGGGGAGGGGGTAGGGGGAGGGGTAACCCCCTCCCCGAACGGGAAGAGGGATTTTTGGAAGAGGAAAGAAAGTCATCGTTAGACCACCTGCGCCCAGAGGGCTGGTGGGATTCTGCAATGCAGCAAGTCGCACTGCAGGTGGAATCCCGCGGGAGGCCAGCTCTGAGCCTCAGGCACCTTCTCCTCATCGTCGTCATCACGTTTCATCATGAGTGGTGAAGCTTTCCGTTCCTCGTCCTCTTAGAAGGTGCCATCGGAGGATGTGTTGTAATGTTGCCCTTGGCCTGCTCAGCGCCGATGAGCAGGATCACTCCTATGCCGCCAGGGGCTTGCGGTCACTCGCAAGGGCGGCCTCTTGCCCCCTCACCACACATTAAGCCGCACCTAGACGGCGCATTAGCACATAAACAATACGAACGCGCACATGCAGGAAGAACAAATACGGAAAAAGCGTCGTAAACGATTCTGCCTGCCGGGCGAGCAGGTGTGCAACCACCAGAAACTTTGTGCCGGTGACCTGCTACTCGGTTATCTGCAAGCGACGCCCCCTCACCAGCTGTCCCTATTGCTCAGCCCGTCCTGCTCAGCCTTAAGCACGTTTTTTTATCCTAGACGTCACCAGGGGGCAGGTCGGGGGCCCCCCAAACGGGGTGGTGACAACACCGTGCGGTGAGTCGGTGGGGATTCGGGGTCACCGCACGGTTTTGGGACTCGGGTCGTTCTCCGAGGAAGTCTCGGGCGACGGGGGCCTCCGGGGTCCCAAAACCGTGCGTTGACGGACCGTGCGGTGAGGTCTTGCGGTATTTCGAGGTCACTGCACGGCCTGTCACCGCCCGTTTCGGGACTCTAGAGGAGGGGTGGATGGGGCTCTTTGACCTAAATTTTGGTGCCCGCGGGGTTTCGGCCCAGAGAAGGCCATCCTTTGGCGGCGAGCGAGGAGGGGAAATGAGAAGGAGAAGGCATTCTCAGAAGGCGGCGGGGCTTCTCAGGCGCCCCTGGGCCTCCTGAGAAGTTTCCGGTGCCCTCGCGGAAGGCTCAGGACACTCCTCAGGAGGCGGGGGGACCTCCGAGTTCTTCCGAGGAGGCCCGCCACTTCTCACTTCCCCCCCTCGCTCGCCGCCAGATTCTCACCACCCACCAAACCACCCCAACCCAACCCGAAGGCTCAGATTTACCCCCGATTTCCAGTGGGTGGGGGGTTCGGGAAACATCGAAAAAACACGTATGGAACCCATACCCCCCCCCCAACCCGAAATTCGGGCCTTCGGGCTGGGTTGGGGTGGTCTGGTAGGTAGTCAGATATCTGCCCGACGCTCCCAGACCCCGCCGCCGCCCAGCGCTCCGTGCCTGGGGGTGGTGGTGGTCGTCGTGGGCGAAGAGCACATCTGCATCCTGCGGCCTCGCGGGCTCGGCCCCTGGGGCTCCTGTCGGGCGTGTCCCCCTACAGGGGGATTTTCGACGAAAAATCGAAAAAATACCCCGAAAATACCCCAAGAGAGTCAAACAATACTTTAAGAATAGTCCCCAGACTATTTGTGGACTATTTTGTGATTATTTCTGGGGTATTTTTTATGTTTCATCGAAAAGTCCCCCTGTAGGGGGACACGCCCGACTTAACCCTGGGCCGCTGCCCCGCGGATTCTGCGCGCGGAACGTACCTGTGCGACCGCCGCGCGTCCGCGGGATCGTGCCCCAGAATCCAGATCGCGAGGGCGCGGGTACGGACACGTTCGCCGCTCGTGAGGTCAGGCGTGGTGACGGCCGTTGCGCCGAGTCGCGCAGAGTCGCAGTCCCTCCTGCTCAGCCTCGGTCACCTGCCCACGTCTCGAGCCATGGGGAGCGAGAGGGGTCCCGCAGAGGTCCCCGGAGATCTCCACGAGAGGTCTCCGCGGAGGCCACTGCGGAGGCCTCCGGAGGAGCCATGGAGGTCCCCTGCAGGGCCTGCAGAGGCTCAGATGAGGCCGGCCCAAAGCTTTCCAGAAGCCTCGACCGTCAATTCCTCGGTCCTCAGGGGGGGGTCGTCCCGGCGAGGGGGTGGCTCGGCCGCGCCGACGGCGTTCTGCGACTGAGGCCTGCCGCGTCGGTGGGCCCCACTGTTCGACAGCGCGCTGGCGGGGTGGCGTCGGAGGGGCTCGACGTACACGCCAGAAGACGCACAGAGCATGCGGCTATGCCCCGAAGGACTCAGGAAAGCACGCAGTGTCGTCGTGGCCACCGGCATGCCTAAAGACGCGCCAGCCATTCGATCAATGAGCCAAGCGATTCGGAGAATGAGCTCGGTGTGCACGGCAGGCTCGTGTCGTATCGACAGCAGCTCCTGTTCATTTAGAATCGGACTCGCTGTCAGTGTCGCCGCGGATCGTGTCCATTTGGGACAAAGGGCAGCCTGCCCAACAGCGGCCGCTGTCGGTTTTGGACAACATTTGCTGTTAGGCATCGTACCCATGTCTTTCCGCACCCACTCGGGACGACCGACATGGGTACGGAAAGAATGGGCACAGTGCCCAACAGCAGTTCCTGTTCATTTTGGACGGGACACGCTGTCCGCGCCGCCGCGGCCTGTGTCCATTCGAGACAGAAGGCCGCCTGCCCAACAGCGGCCGCTGTCGGTTTGGGACAACATTCAGGAGGGGAAAAAACACACAGACACAATCAATCGTCGATTCCCAGAAAATATGGGAAAATATGGGAAGTGGGGGGGAGGACAACAACCCTGACAATATGGGAATATATGGGGAATCTTTGTATTTGTGTGTATTTATTTGTGTGTCCTGGGGCCCCTTCAAACATGCGTTGTTGGGCATCGTGCCCACGTCTTCCCGTGCCCACCGCGGGCGCCCAGAGGGCGACTTCCTGCCCTTCTGGGGGGCCCGACGGGGCCCCTCGGACGCCGAGCGCGGCCAGCAACTTCGGTCCCGATCCTTTGGCGGCGAGCGAAGAGGGGGAAATGAGAAGGAGGAGGCCTGCTCAGAAGGCGGCGGGGCTTCTCGGAAGCCCTTGCGCCTTCCGAGAAGTTTCCTGTGTCTTCGGGGAAGGTTTCGAGAACCTCTCAGAAGGCTGGGGGACGTCCGAGCCTTCTGAGAAGGCCCGCCCCTTCTTCTCACTTCCCTCCCCAGCGCGCCGCCTATTTTTGTGTCAGTCTGGGCAGTTTGTTGTTATGGTAATACTATGAATATACCATTACCATTAATAATATTGTTTTACGAAGAAGGATAGTATTAATCATAACCATTACTGGTGATAATGAACATCCCATTGATAATAACAAGAGTAATGCTACTAATCATAACAATTATAATCATATCATTATTAGTATTTACAACAATAGTAGTCGTAGTGGTAACACTCAGAATAATAAGACTAACCATATTTACAGAAACACTGGAAACATTAACCATTAGTACTACGAATAATACTGTTAATCATAATAATCCAAGTGGGAATATAACAGTACTAGTCATATGAACAAAATCACAAATAATCATTCTACCACCACTAATAACGGTAATAATAATAATGGCAATATCAATAATAATAAGAGTACAGAGCATTAATAACAACAATACTACATACGTGGGGTAGACAGGCTTTGGGATGTCCGCGCGGATTTGTTGGGTCGGCGATTGCCCTCCTTCCCGCTCGTTTCGCGGAACGCGCTGGGGGCGGTGCCAGAGGCGCCGCCAGGGGTGGTGGAGAGGTGGTTCCAGCGCCGAGCCGCGAGATCTGCGCGGATCTTCGAAATCCTATGTTTACGCATGTGTTTCGTTGTTCTAGAGTGATCCCTCAGCGATGCCCCTGACCTGCGGACCCGTATTCTTTTTCGAGGTGCTCGACAGCCGAGCGGTCAGGTCTGCAGTCGACCCGCGCCGGAAGATGCTCGACAGGGGAGGCCTGCTTCCTGGCGCGTCCTCTCGAGCGACCCTCGAAGGAGAGCCGACCGATGCTGCAATTTCGTACGGTAGGTTCGCGTCGTGTCGATGCGGTGGCAACCCCGCCGCGAGCTCTCGAGGTTGAACGCCGCCAGCGGCCCAGAATCGGCCACGATGGAACGACCTGGCGAGCGAAGCCGCCGATGCTTCAAAGTTGAACGGTTTACGCGGTGTCAGAAACCAACGCCGGGGTCGTCACGACACGAACTTGCCGTTCCTGTCGCGTGGCTGCCGCAGAGCATGCCGACTTTTCGGCCTCGCACAGAAGGGGGGTAGGGGGAGTTGGCAAAGCTTCTTGACAACAAAAACACGCCCCCGCTTCTTAGAAAGGCGCGGGCCTGATCTGCAGATGTGAGGCCGGCGCCTTCGAAGAGGCAGCCTCCCAGAAATCCGGCCGCTCCAATCTTTTCGATGCGTGGGCCCTGGAGGTCCGGACCACTTCTTTTGGGCCGGTTTTTCGCCCTGAGTCGTTGTTTGACGCTCCCGAGGCCCTGCGAGGGCTCCAAGAAGCCGAAAACGGGCCAAATCCCAGCGCTCCAATTTTTTTGGAGCGTCGGATCTCTGGGTTCCGTGAAGAAGCCTGCCCCCTCCCCCTGTCCCCGTGGTGCTGCGCCGCCAGCGCGCAGCCGCCACAGTGCATGCCGATTACTTGTGTTAAGCCGGGCCCGTCCCTCTACAGGAGGAATTCCCAAAAATAGGAAAAACAGTCCGGGGACGATGTTTTGGGTATCCTTGGGCATGTTTGGGGCATTTGTGGAATATTTTGTTCTAACATGTTTCCTCCAGAATCCCCCAGTAGGGTTACGTCGGGCCTGTCCCCCTACAAGGGCATTTTCGACGAAAAATACAAGATACCCCCAAAACACCCCCCAAAAGGCAAAAACATATTCAAAAAATAGCCCCCAGACTATGTTTTGATTACTTTCTGATTGTTTTTTGGGTATTTTTCATTCTTCGTCGAAGATCTCCCTGTAGGGGGACACGCCCGACTTCACTGTACGGTAGGTTCGCGTCGTGTCGACCGGCGGCGACCCCGCCGCCGACGTTCAACGTTGAACGCCGACGGCGGCCCAGAATCGGTCGATGTTGAACGATCGGACGTTGCGGAGACGGCCGATCGTTCACGGTTGAACGATCCAGCGCGGTGTCGGGAACCAACGCTGGCGTCGGCACGACACGAACCTGCCGTAGGGGGGACAGGCCCGACCTCAGATTCTCGCGGCCACTGGCCCAGAGGCGCAGGGGCCCCCCCTCTGGCGCCGACCGGGGGGCACGGCGAGGCCCGCCGCCGCCCGCCGCGAAGAGAGGCTCGGCGCCGCGCCGCCGCGTTCCGCCGAGAAAGGGCAGGCGAGGGGCTCCTCTGCCTGCTCCTCCTCCTGATCCTCCTCCTCCTGCCTCGTCCTCCTGCTCCTCCTCCTCCTCCTCCTCCTCCTCGGCCCTCCTCCTCCTCCTCCTCCTCCTCCTCTTCCTGCTCCTCCTCCTGCTTCTCCTCCTGCTCCTCTCCTGCCTCGTCCTCCTGCTCCTCCTCCTCCTGCTCCTCCTCCCCTGCTCGTCCTCCTGCTCCTCCTCCCCCTGCTCGTCCGCCTGCCCCTCCACCTCCTCCCCTGCTCGTCCTCCTTTCGAGCCTTTCGAGTGCGGCCCAATGGTCTCCGCGAGACCGTGGCCGAGGCGGGCATTGCCGCAGCGGCGGCGCGCGGCGGGCCCGCCGCGACCGCACGTAGATTCCTCCAAGTGGGCCTCCAGAGGTCGAGGCGAAACGGGGCCGAGGAGGCCCGACGAGGGCCAGGGGACGCACGGGGCTCGTCCTCCTGCTCCTCCTCCTCTTCTTGCTTACCCGCCTGAAGCACATCCCTGTCCGCATGTTTGGCATCGCCTCCCCTCGATGCCGATCCGAAGGCGTCGAGGGGAGGCCATGCCTTAGGATCGACGTCGCTCTTTTGCTTGCCTTCGCTTTTTTTGCTTGCCAATGTTTGCCCTTTCGCTTCAAAGCCACCCAGCACTTCGCAGGGTTTGAGGGCGCATCCCGAAGATTGTCATCGCACGCGGGATTCTCCGGGCGAAGGACGGCGACCGTTAGATCAACTACGCCTAGAGCGCTTGTGGGATTCGAGCGACGAGCGCACGTGAACTGATCACGTTGCACAGCCTTCTGACTGTGTTGCACAAGCAAGTTGGGCTCCCGAACAAGTCCACATCGCTTGCTTCATTCGCCTCCGTTGGCCTGTAGGACGAGCTCCATGATGCGACTGATTATACGTCTGGATCTGAAAGAGGACGCCCCTCTGATTGCCGCGGTGGCATGACCGAGCAGAGCATTGTTACAGGGTGGGCGTGGGCATGACCTCGCGCAGCAAGACCCCTCCCCTCCTCCCCCCTCCCCCCCCCCCCCCCCCCCCCCCCCCCCCCCCCCCCCCCCCCCCCCCCCCCCCCCCTCCCTCCCTCCCCCTCCCTCCCTCCCTCCCTCCTCCCTCCCTCCCTCCCTCCCTCTCCTCCCTCCTCCTCCTCCTCCTCCTCCTCCTCTCCTCCTCCTCCTCCTCCCTCCTCCTCCTCCCTCCCCCTCCTCCCCCTCCCTCCCCCCCTCCCCCCCTCCCTCCCTCCCTCCCTCTGCACTGGGCAGGGCAGTATGCCACGATTCACGGGGCCGCGACCGGAGGCCGTTAAGGCAGGCGACCAGAGGCCACGAGCCACGACCAGAGAGCACGGGCCACGGCCAGCGTGTTCGAGCCACGGCCCAAGACTCGCAGGCCTAGAGGTTGACACCAACACCAATATCGGCGGTGTGCCTCCACCGAGGGAAGAAAATCCCGATCTCGGTGATGGTGGTAACATTCTGGCTTCAAGGTGACCGAAATATTGCCACCAACACCGAAATCTAGGATCGTCTTCCCCC